CTTTATACACACGCTGTTCATCATACTGAACCCTGAAAAGATAAGTACTGTGGGATCTTACCGGGGTGATGGAGAGGGTCTGAAACCGAATATGGTGATGGACGCACAACTAGGGAAACTTACTAAAGATCATTAGGACGGTGAGTCCTATGGCACATCAATGAAGTTACCTCTTAAAATTGTATTCAAGTGTTGAGATAAAATTAAAATCACAATCCCTTCCTGATCAAAAGGGGGAAAATGCATAATAGAATTTCCAATTCTCAAGGACTCCAGACTTTCTGGAGCCATGGAGGCTGGATGAACCTCTACAACTATTGCCCTGTGATCATCTTTAAACCTTCAAGCGACAGTAACCCCTGGTCTCAAACCAAACAACAGTTTAGTTTCTCCAGGAAAGGAGGTGTGCCTCACACGCAGTGTTCTATACGGGCTCACAATGACAAGAGCAACTCTCAAGATCAGACAGGAAGCTCGGGGGATAGTGAGCCTGTTCATGAGGGACGACCTGGAAAGGAAGGTGAGGACGGCCACACTGAGTGGACACGGAGAACCTGCTCAATCGGTATGTTGGCTCCATATATTCCCAGCAACATGAAGGATTAGAAACAAAAGAATCTTGATTCTCACTGGGTCCCAAGGACATCATCCAGTGGAGCTGGCATTTCTAATTGCAGGGCACAGTGGTGGGGACATGCCTACTAGCAGAGTCTGAGTAGCGTGGTAGAAGCAACTCTGACCTTGGCAGAGGGGGACCACAGACCACACCCTGAGAATTGCTTTCACCAAGAGGGAACCAAGGAGCAGGAACCAGGAGGCCTTGCACCTGTGTGGGCCTGGTGTACGCCCTGGTGAGGGAGACCAGACGCCTACAGCAGAACACATGTAAGGAAACTGCAACTCCTTCGTGGATAGAATTTTGAACCTTGATGACTCAACGGAAACGTACTTGAAAAAATTATACCACGAACCAAGTACTGGGGCTTTAGATGGTTCCCAGACGCGCTCCCACACACCTTTGCTGTCAACGGCTACAACCATCAGTGAGCCCATCTGGGCAGGTCTACGACCGTGGCACATGACAGAGTGAAGCTTACAGGCACACACCACGAACCCCACCCGCTTAAAGCACACAGGAGGGCAGTTTATACCAGTATAGTCACAAAGCTGGCCAGCCATCCCCACCATCCAGTTCTAGAAACTTTCCATCACCCCCCAAAGAAACCTGTGAGCAGTCACTCCCCCCTGGGCCCCCGATGCTTGAAACCACTAGTCTTCCTTCTGCCTTTTTAGGGATCTGCCTCTTTTGACAGTTCTGAGAGGAGCCACACAGAACTGACCCTCGTGACCAGCTTCTTGCACCTAGTACAACCCTTTGCAGGGTCCTCCTCCACAGTGCAGTGACTGGGAACTTCATTTTAATGGTTAAATACAGCCCACCGTGGGAACAGACCATTCCGCACCCTTACATCCCCCACCGTGTGGCCCACGCTGCCCTCATTGTCACCTACCATATGGACCACGCTGTGCCCATCCGCTCCCCACCATTGTGAGTGGACCACACTGCACTCATCGTCACCTACCATATGGACCACGCTGTGCCCATCCGTTCCCCGCCATTGTGAGTGGACCACGCTGCACTCATCGTCACCTACCATATGGACCACGCTGTGCCCATCTGCCTCCCACCATGTGAGTGGACCACGCTGCACTCATCGTCATCTGCCGTACGGACCACGCTGTGCCCATCCGCCCCCCGCCATGTGAGTGGACCACGCTGCACTCATCGTCACCTACCATATGGACCACGCTGTGCCCATCCGCCCCCTGCCATGTGAGTGGACACTTGTCCATCCACCCCACTGTATGAATGGACAGGGCTCATCTGCCCCCCGTGAGTAGACCACGCTCATCTGCCCCCCACTGTGAGTGGACCACACTCATCTGTTCCCCCCACCGTGAGTGGACCACAATCGTCCATCCCCCCCACCGTGTGAGTGGACCCTGCTCGTCAGTCCCCCCTCTGTGAGTAGGCCACGTTTGTCTGTCCCCCACTGTGTGAGTGGACCACACTCATCCGTCCCCCCCACTGTGAGTGGACCACAATCGTCCATCCCCCCCCCCCGTGAGTGGACCACGCTCATCCATCCCCCCCACCGTGAGTGGACCACGCTTGTCTGTCCCCCCCACCATGAGTGGACCCTGCTCATCAGTCCCCCCTCTGTGAGTAGGCCACGTTTGTCTGTCCCCCACTGTGTGAGTGGACCACACTCATCTATCCCCCCCACTGTGTGAGTGGACCACACTCGTCCATCCCCCACCATGTGGACTTCCCAGGTTGTTTCTGATTTTTGCCTATTGTGAATGACATTGCTATGAATATTCACGTACAGGTATCTATGTGGTGTGCGTTTTCACCTCTCTGGGAGTCAAAGTCCCAGGCGTGAGCTGTGGGATTATACAGTAACTTTAGGGTTAGCCTTTTGAGGATTTGCCAAACTTTTCCACAGAAGCGACATCATCTCACATTCCTGCCAACAACAAAGAGCTACAACCCCTCCACCAACCCCACAAACTTCACTGTATCATCAGGATGACGCCTCTCGTTCCTTAAGGAACCCTGGTGGTATAGTGCGTAAGCACTCACTCCACTGCTAACTGAAAGGTCAGCAGTTCAAACCCACTAGCTGCTCCATGGGTGGAAGATGTGGCAGTCTGCTTCCATGAAGACTGACAGCCTCGGAAACCCCACAGGACAGGTCTACTAGGTCCTCCAGGGGCGCTGGGAGTCGGAATCAACTTGACTGCATTCTCTGGGTTTCTCTGATTATTGGGGGAAATAAATTAGTTCATCTCAATTCGACAGTAAGTGAAAAAAAAAGGTCCATCAAATAAATGTCCCCTAATAGAGGATGTGCCACTCCTTGGAAGGAAGGTTGGGCATTCCTACTTCCATAGTGATACTGCCTCGGAAACCCAAGGAGGGGTCGCTATGAGTTGGGGCTGACTCGACGGCACATAACAACAACAACAACAATAGAGGATGTGTTCTAGAAGACTCAGCTGTTCTCTGCTGCACTTTTGCAAGATGCTCTACAGAAGAGACAGACAGCAGGGAGGAGTCGACAGCCACTGAAATGAGCTCCAGAGACAAAAGCTCATCCCAAGCAAATACCAGCTCGTCTCTAGCTTCCTTCTGACCCCAGCTCAACACCAGGTGACTGTGACCACAGGCCTGCCGAGCGTCCGCCCGAGTCCGTGGGGCTGCCTCCCACTGCTTGTCCACCGAGGCCTCACTGGTAACGATTTTACTTCAGCTGTGTGAACTCTGGAGACGAGGCCAGCAAGTGTCCTTCCCAAACACCCACCTCAGGGCTCCGTGGCCCAGGTGGCAGACACCACTGCCTCCTAAGGGACCCGGCCACACTTGGAGTCATGCTGCCAAGAGACAAGATAGAGCACGCAGGCTGCCGGCAGACAGACTACTGCAAGGACGGGGAGACAGCCATGCAGACACGCACAAACACGTATGTGTACTACCCCTACCGCTTTAGTCACATGAGATGGCTGACTCCACGTGTTCCCCCATCATTAAGGCAAACACCTTTAGCTTAAGATTTCTGAATACAGGCACTTCAAGTACCAGGACTTCTAAAGACTGGTAGTAATTCCCTTTCTGACACACACCGTGCGTCCAGCTGTACTCCTCCACGGCTGTGCTGGTCACCGTGCCTTCTTTACGGCCTGTGACCCTGTCACTGGCTGTCCATGCCCATTGAGCCCTGCAGAGCCCAGCCCCACCCAGTGCAGGGCACAGGCTGCTGTCCGGCAGAGGCCCCCACGTGCACACACACGTCCACTGGCTTCTCCCAGAGAAAATGAAAACCCTGGTGGGGCCAGAGCAGCTACCGTCTCTCCACGAGCACAAGCCCAGAGGGGTGAGGCTGAGACCATCAGTCCCCAGGTCCCCTCACCCTTCCGCACGAATCACAGGGCCGCTCCAGGTCAGAACCCGTGGTGCCCCGCCTCCTGCCCTCCCCGGGCTGCCCGCCCCGCATGCCCCTTGCTCCAGCCTCACTTTGCAGCCCTCGCCTGCTCTGAGCACAGAGGTCCACGAGGCTCGCTGCCCCAGGGCCCACCCCGTCCTTCGGCTGCACAGCTGGGCTCTGGGTCCGGAGAAAGGGGGGGGCCTCTGGAGAGTGGGAACCTAGGGGCTGCAGAGTGAACAGAGCAGATTTGTGTACCTGGAACCTGGCCTCTGAGTGGTATGGAATTTGATAGTGGAGGTGGAGGAGGAGTGGATAATGACGGTACAACATCTGGAAGAGAAGTACAGGAAGGGGTGAGCGTTAGGGGCCGTGGCAGCCGGGCCGGGGACAGACGAGGAGACACCTGCCCACCTGAGAGGGGAAACGCAAGAACCACACCGGGCCCACCCTACTTGTCCAAGACCCTACAGGCCGACACGCTCACTTCCCATCGCCCGAGGCTCCCACCACAGCACAGGAGGTGCACTGTTCACGTTAGAGGTCCTGAAGAATGCAGTGCCTAGACCACTATGGGGGACTGCCTCACACTGCCACTGGCCACAGCTGTCCAAGCCGTAGCCACACTGCAGGACGGGCGAGCCCTCTGCACTCACAGGCCTCCCCCTGGGCCACCACAAATCCACTCCACACGCAGCAGCATGTATTTCGAAACATCTTACAGAAAAGTGGGGGTTTTCCTTATGGAGGTGGCAAAATGTCCAAGCCGACCCCCAGGGCATGTGGCCTCAGAAACATGCACAGCACTGTCTCCGTCAGTCGGCTGGGGGCCAGTGGCACTGATGCCCTTTGGGCCACTCTTTAAGGTGCTGCGAGGGTGAGGGCCACCGTGCAGCCAGCATACCCACCATCAGCACGTGCGCCCACGGGCCCGCGCCAGATACTCACAGGCGGGACCACAACCATGCGACCGGGAACCCAGACGCAGGGCTGCTGCGGGCCCCAGACACCTACCTTTCATGAAGAAGCGGCAGGTGGGACGAGGCCTCACCTTCCTGTCACTAGGGTCTTTGACCTCGCCTTCTTCCAGGTCATCATCCTGCAAAAGACGAGGGCTCGCTGTCATCATCACAGTGGATGACCACCGGAGTCGGCCCCGGCGCTCTGCCTGAGGGCACTGCACTCTGTGGCAGGCCTCTGAGCCCCGGCCCGCGAAGACCCTCCACACCACAACTCGGCACTCGCCCACGTGCACACGTTTCCCAAACCTCAGACTCCTCCCCCACAGGATGGAGACGAGCCCAAGGCCTCGGAGGCGGTAACTGGAGGAATGCCAGCAGCTGGGACACAAGCTGCTCATGGGGCCAATATAGGCGTGTTTCTCATCACTAGCCGGCAGGAAACGGTCCGAAAGAATTTAAGTAGGTGCCTTAAACCTGAACATGCCACTTCCCCTCACCGACAGTCTGGGAGGAGACAGGAGGCCTTTGCCCTTGCAGCCAGCCTCAGGGCGGTCTCCGCTCTGGCAGCCAGCGCTCCCAGCCTCGGCCATGTGCACCTGAGAACCAATCCGGCTCTCCCACAGGGGTTCTGATTTAAGTGGTGATGGGTGACTTCCGGGCCAAGACCAGGACCACTGCCCTGCATGCTCACCAAGCCACCCCCGCCCACCACCCCAGTCCCACCCACCAGGAGACAATGCTACAAGGGCCCTGCAGAGAAGGCTTCTCCTAGAACCAGCCCTGGCCAAGCAGTCCACTGCCCCCTCCACCCCACCATCTCTGGCATGTTCTGAGGATGCAGCAAGCCCCCCTCGTCCAGGGTAGACAGCCCTCTCCGCCACGCCCCCAGGGACCCAGCTGTCCCCCCCCCATCCCCAGCAGCAGCATCCGGGTCCCTCACACCGCTCCTAAGGGCTCCAATCTGCTCTCCACAGAGCAAAGACACTGCTCCAAAGCCCACCTGGCCAGGCCCTTCCCTCTGCTCTTTCCCGACATCTGCTCCTTCCAGACTGTGGTCCCACCCCTTCCCGAGGAGGCCCTGCCGAAGGGCCCTCACAACCCCCTCTGCCCCTTGACCCTACCCACTGCACTTTTCATGTACAGCTGTGGGCAGACATCCCCCGATGATGACCTATGGCCACATGTCCACCCAGTGAGCGCGTTCTCACTTGACGGAGCCGTGTCAGTCTCACGGGTACGTGTGTGTGTACACGTGTCTGTGAACACTTAATTACTGAATGAATAGCTGCTGAACCCAAACCCTGGAGTTAGGACTGCTTGCATTTTTAAAGCTAAATACCTGCATGATTTCTGCCTTCTAACTAGAGAGGTTAAGAGGGAACATTTTATAACGAAAGGAACAGGTTTCTGAGATGTCCACCCACAACATGCGTGTCTCTGTCAACACATTGCCCATGCTGCCTGAGGCTGAGCAAGGCGGCTGCTCCTCTCTGGTATGACACTGTGTGCTTGACCTCTCATGTTCCCCTGGCACCACAGTGCGTGACAGCCTTCGGGTGGCATTTCCATAAGCTGAGACCTAAGGTGAGGGTAGAATCTCTTTTGTTGGAGCTCTGGTAGCATAGTGGCTAAGACACTTGCCTGCTAACCAGACGGCTGGCGGTTCAAACCCACCAGCCACTCCTCAGAAGGAAAGTCGGGCAAGCCTACTTCCGTAGTGATACTGCCTCGGAAACCCAAGGAGGGGTCGCTATGAGTCGGTCCGACTTGATGGCACATAACAACAACAACAACATGAGAAAAAGCTAAACCAACCCTGGAGGGCTGAACCCAAGCCCAGGTGAGTCTCCCTGATCCACGGAGCATGAACACATGGAGGCCAGCCAGGAGCACCAAGTCGCTTTCAGAAACAGGATCCCTCTCCAGTGACTGGTCACTCTTAAGGACGTCTTCATATCTATGGGCAGTGAGCAGCATGTTGCCACACTGGGGGATGCCATGTTGCTGCTGGAAACCAGCACTAAGCAGCCTGCAGCGTCTGGAAGAGGCATGCAACACCAACACGTGCGTCTCAGCACCCAGTCCACTGCCCGCCTGGAAGCAGAGGGCACGCACACCCCTGCAGCACTGAGTTTAGGGCTTCCCCTATGATAAAAACGATCATAAAACCAAACCCAAGTCACGCCGTGGAGTCAATTCCGACCCACAGCGCACCTGGAGGACAGAGTGGAACTGCCCACAGGGTCTCCATGGCTGTCAGTCTTCACAGGAGCAAAGCCCAAACCACACTCACTGCCGTGGAGTCCATTCCGACCCACAGCGCCCCTAGAGGACAGAGTGGAACTGCCAACAGGGTCTCCAAGGCTGTCAGTCTTCATGGAAACAAAACCCAAACCACACCCACTGCCCTGAAGTCGATTCTGACCCACAGCGCCCCTAGAGGACAGAGTGGAACTGCCCACAGGGTCTCCAAGACCGTCAATCTTCACGGAAGCAGACTGCCTCATCTTTCCCCCGTGGAGTGGCTGGTGGGTTCAAACCAATGACCTTTTGGTTAGTAGGCAAGTGCTGATACAACCCTCAAGAACATAGTCTCCCGAGTGTTCAACCCACTCAGCACAAGGGCCTTTTAAATTATAGAGAACTGAACAACGTAAGTCTCTCGAGGAGTTTCACACAAATACAGCCGCAGAAAGGGACTCAGCCACTAAGCTCACGTGCTCCATTGCTGAGACTTGTCACAGCCAGTGTGTGCCGATGGGAATTCTTTTGGGCCTCCCTGCGCCTCACACTAAGACTAAGGTGCGCCTAATCCAAGCCATGGTATTTCCAATCGCCTCTTACACACGTGAGAGCTGGACAACGAATGAAAAGGACCGAAGAAGAGTTGATGCTTTTGAGTTGGGGTGTTGCAGAACAGTGTAAGAGTACCATGGACTGCTGAAAGGACTAACAGATCTGCCCTGGAAGAAGTGCTGCCGGAATACTCCTTGGAAGCGAGAATGGTCAGACCTTCTTTCACCTACTTTGGTCAAGTTGTCAGAAGGAGTCATTCCCTGGAGAAGGATGCCATGCTGGGGAAGGTGGAGGGTCGGCGAAAAGGGAAAGGCCCTCAGCGAGACTGGCTGACACAGTGGCTGCAGCGATGGGCTCGGGTTCAGCCAGGATGGTGGGGCTGGTGCAGGACTGCTGTGCCTAGAGTTGCTGTGAGTCAGAGACCACAACGACAGCTCCTCACACATGGATGGCCTTCTGGCCACTTAACCTGGACTGGGGACAGCAGACGTCAGAACACAGGCAAGCCCCAGCAGGCAAGTCAGAAGCACACTGGTGAGTCTGCAAGAAGGACAGAGACCAGGAACCCTCCGCAGGTGTCCCTCAGCCCAGGGCAACGTCAGAGCAGGCAGGGCCTCTACCACTTACAAAGCCCGCTCAGACCGTATGTCACCTGATGGAGAGCTAAGGCAACTGTACCCACTGGGACGCCTCTGTGAGCGCTTCTTGGGGCCGATGTGCACGCAGACCGAGGGACCAGGTCTACCCCAGTTCGAGCCTCCACACAAACGCGGACGCACTGGGGAGCAAGGGCAAGCTCCCATCCTGGCTCTGCCCAGCCCACCCGTGCGTAACACGGATGCCACTCTGCCTCTGCCTGTCCCAGCTGTGGTATGACACAGACACTATGCCACCTCTGCCTGTCCCGGCCATATGTCACATGGACACTATACCACCTCTGCCTATCCCGGCCATAGGCCACATGGACACTATGCCACCTCTGCCTGCCCCGGCCATAAGTCACATGGACACTATGCCACCTCTGCCTGTCCCGGCCATATGTCACATGGACACTATGCCACCTCTGCCTGTCCCGGCCATATGTCACATGGACACTGCGCCACCTCTGCCTGTCCCGGCCACGGTGTGAGGTGGACACTGCTCCACCTCTGTCTGTCCCAGCTGCGCGTGACATGAACACCGCTCCACCTCTGTCCCAGCTACGGGTGACATGAGCACCGTTCCACCTCTGTCCCAGCTGCGGGTGACATGAGCACCACTCCACCTCTGTCCCAGCTGCGGGTGACATGAGCACCGT